GCTGGCTGCGCTAGCATCCTCGGGTGTGTTGACTGGTCCCTCGGTCACCTCAACCGCCACACTCTCCTCGCTCTTCCTAAACAGCAGCGGAATATTGTGCTTGTCAAAAGGCTGCAACGTCAAATTAGCTGGTCCAAAAAGCATGCCATGGCGGCGAACTTCATTTAGGTTCTCCTCGAAGATGAGGTCCTTGAGATGAGCGTGGGCTGTAAAGCGCTGGCGAAACTCCTTAGGAATCTTGGTAGCCAGGTGGCCCGTTCGACGCCATCTGTTTAGCTCAGACTGCCGTCTGTCATTAGCCTGACGCTTCAGCTCTCGAATACGTTCATGTTTAATCATTGTAAAGGCATTGCTAGTCGGCCAGTTTTCCAGCAAATAAGGTGGTTCAGGGCGCTTCTCCAGCAGTGGTTTGTCCACATTCGATTTGGGTGCAATCAGTTTCTCCATGTAGCGCATAAATGGCGCTCGCGTGGGGTAATGCAATTTAACAACAGGCTTCATGTCCATGGCGTAGTCGTTGTTTAGACTGTTATTTCCACCTCCTGGAGTGTTTGTGAGGAGCTGCGGTAACAATACCTTGCTCTTCGCATTTCCTGTCCCTTCGTTCATGGAACCAGAACTAACGATTTACTGTATATACGCTTGCGCTTTGCACGTACTCTGCATGCACAATTCAAACGGCCCAGTTATTCATTGAACTAGGGCCCTCGTCCGATCGATATGGAGTGTGCGGGCTGCAAATAGAAAACCACGCGCAATTTGTTCGCGCGTGCGTGCACGGCATAAAACAAAAATTATTTTGGAAGGGGAGGCAACACTGAGACATTTTCAGGCCAGCAGCAAAAGATTTCCGAAAGTACTTAATGCAGGGTGCAGACGAAAGGGATACATACAGAATATGGAGTAATTCATTCGATCTATAAAGGTTATTTAAGGTGCACCTTGACGCATCTTCCGGCGTAAATCAAACTGCCTATTCGTCTGGGGTCAGGATCACCGTAGTGTAATCCGGAGGGTTACCAGGCCCACCGGGAACTTTCCAGACGTCTTTGAGTATTAAGTAAGTACGGACGTAGACGGGATTAAGCTTGGTTACGAAATTGTTCACCATCCTAGTAGGTGACTGCCTTGATGACAATTTGGACTAGATCGTACAAGTTAATTTGTGGTTTTACGTGTCAGGAAGGCCCACAATGGGGTGATAAAAACGGCAGTTTGTTTTAATTCGATCCAAAGGTTGCCTTATTTAGGGTGTAGCATCTAAGAAGTGGTTGTACGCGGGTCACTACAATCATCAGGTCGAATCCCAGGCCGGAGGGGCAAGGCAGAAGTCACCACGGTGAGAGATTAATTGTGTACAGTTGCTGTCTCAGATGACAGTAGCCATTGGCGAAGCCAGGACGAGTGATGACTGCGTCCAGCCATGCCTGGGAGAGGATGAGACAGTGGTAGTAACTACTTAGGTAGGAATGCAGAGCAGGTTCAAATGTTCTCCAATTGAAGCATATGCCATTCTCAGAGGGATGGCCTGTCTGTTGGCGTAGGCTGTCTCGGCCGAGGGTGGAGGAAAGGGACATGTTCAAGTGGCGCTTGGACAGTCGCGACTACCTCGACGCAAGTCTGCGTGTCCGAGTGAACGTTCCTCAGTTGCCTGCAGGTC